GTAAGATACAGGAACATTACTGATTAAACACATTTTACTGTGTATTTTGTTTTCACAGTACAAATAAAAATTACAAAATGAAGTCAGTGTCACTTTTACTAAAGCTACTTGATCAAGATTTTTTTTTTTTACTTACAAAATTAAGTTGTTTTTACCTTAAAAAAATTTATGTAATCCATTTCCAACTTTTTTTTGTTAAATTAACTTATCTGGCTTTATAGTGTGATATATCCAAAAGGAAACTCTTTCTTTACTCTTTACAAGATATACAGAGACAATTTCCGCATGAATAAAAACAACCCATAAATCAGTTTAAAATCATATTTAGTTGTCACATTCTATCAACACGTGTATCACAAGAGCCGATAATGTCTTCGGTCCAATTAAATAAACAGAATAAAAGACATGCAGCCACAGTGGGCATGTTTATTTGGGCAGATGGCATCAGAGTCTCGAGCCAGACTGCATTTGTAAATGCAATGGATTATTTATTGAAGTTAATTCGGCACAGGCTGGACAGTGGGAGTGTTAAGTTGATAATGAATAGTAAAGTTGATGAAAATAAGGGCCTGTAAGATGATAATTAATCATTTTCCAAGATAAATAAAAGCTTAACATCTTATGCTTTCATTAGTACTGATTGGAAATACCTTCAACGTTCATAAAGCTGCAGTGCTTTCTATTTATGTGAGCATGTGCTTTTATACAGATTTTACTATGATTGAGTCCTTGACTGTCCCTTTTATATGTTAACAGGTTTGCCATGACATTTCATGTTCAAAACACTTCATACATAATGCATCATTTTAACAGAAAAACAATCAAATGTCTTCATTCACACTCTGGATTTAGGCAACTGAAGCAAACACATTAGCGGATGCAGAGTGTTACCCAGAAACTGAGAGCATGAAGAGAGAAGGAACGTGATCAGTAATTATGGTAACATGGGGTAGGAGGGGAGGTGTTGGTGGGGGTAAAAATTGGTTGAGTGCTGATGAACATTTGAGCATTTCTACATGCCTGAAGGAATTCCATTAACCACTCTGATTAAAGTAATCATTGGAGCCATCGGTGCCTGTCAGATGCCATCCCTGCCCTCTCAATTACCCAGATCTCCTTGAACTCAATTGCACACATCATCGTGGGGCCTGGGTGGCAGGCGAGCAGTGAGGCTGCGCTGAGGACGAGGCATCTTCGGTGGGTGGGAGGGGGTAGGTGAGGAAGCGCTCGAACATATGGAGTATGTCCACCCCTCTATCTCTCTCAGTATACAGAGGGCGGCCGCCTAATTATCATTTACGCATATTGCTGGCTTGTCGGGTGGCACAGTCCAAATGTGGGAAATAAATCGTACACGAGAAATATATAGATTCTTGCAAGGCGTGTAGCAGATGGCTGAAGTCTGTCCCATCAGGAGAGTTCAGAGAGTGTCAGTTAAGTTGTCAATGGCAACAAGCTATATGCTGAATTTACATCTAGAGCTGCAACCAACAATTATTTTCAAATAATGCGCTGATTATTTTCTCAATGAATCCTTTTGTCCAAATGAGTTTTGTCCAAAACCATATCGCTACCATTTAAGGCAAAGAAGAGAAGCAAAACCTTGCATTTCAAAAGCTGCAACCAGCATATTTTAAATAAATTTAAAACCAGTAAACCAATAGTTGAGAATTTTCTGTTTACTGACCAATCGGTTAATCAAATAATTGTTTCAACTCAACTGACAATCAAATACTCTCGTTAAATCAGTCCTTTACTGCACGTTACACTCTTATTTAAAATAAATCAAACCACAGAAAAAAAAAACATATAGAAACAAAATATATTAGTAACATAACAGTATTTTTTTTGTAAATTATGCATACTAGACCCTTGCTTTTTACATGACATAAAACATCTTGTCAAACTATTCTGAAGACTGAAAGCTGAGCATGTGCATTATCAACTTGTCAAGGGATACAGAACCTTAGAGGTGCCATAAGCCAAAAGAGTTACTGTTTGGCAATGAATGTCGTAATTTTATGAATTATCAATTTGTTTGGTAATGTGTACCACCGAATTGTAATGTAAACTGAGAAGATCACCTCAATTTTGACCTAATCTTGTCTAATTAAATACCTGAAATGTTATCCCTAAATCATGCATATCCCTAAATACATTTATCTTTAATTAAATTACCACAAACTAACTGAGCAGTTAATTTTCCAGCTGTACCTGCAGCAGCATACACACACAATACACAAAGAGTGGGAGGAACATTGAGAAAACGGGGGCTCACAGCTCCGTTTTGCCCCAGGGCCTCTTAGCAGCTTAATCCAGCCCTGTGCATGTGTAGCATCAAGCTGATTTTATTTACCATAAACACAAGAATCTGCCAACACCATCTGATAAGCTATTAAGCACAATTTATAGCAAGTAACTGCTAAATCAAATCCAAAACAAAAAAGTTTAATTAGCTTGGTATTTTTAGTACACTGTTAGAAAATAGTTCCCTCCAAGTTAGTGTACTGGAAATAGCCGAGTGATGAGCCAACACAAGCAGCTTGGACGGGTTTCATGCGCTGTACCACTCCACATTGATTAACTCTCAAATGGTGCGAAAGCGGGAAGTGTAAGAGAATATTGGAACACAAACTGTCCATCACTGTCTCTCCCATCTCTTTACCCAAAAGAAGTCTGGAAATATGTGTGTGCGGCTGAGCTATAGGGGCCGAGAACAACATCAGACACTGTCTTCTTCTTAACTTTCCCTGCTGCATGCGGCAAGTATCGAGGAGAGAGTGAGACTTCTGTGACAGCTACATCTGCACGTACATTGCGCCTTGCGTTGCATCAGCCCCACATCAGATTCTGCACAATAGGTTTAGCCATAAATTAGGAGGGGTTGGGGGGGGGGGCTCTTGTGTAGCATGAGGCAACCAAGGCTGAGGTATTTCACCTCAGAACTTCCTTCTTTCCCCGAATACAGATACTGACCATTGCTGGAATCTCACACATTGCTTTTTCTTGAATAGTTTTAACTACATCATGCACTGATTGAGTGAATGTAAGAGCACTACAAAGCTTATGAAAAGCTATAAATGGAATAATCCAGGGAAAGGCATAATAAACTCTTTGCCCTTCCTTAATGCTTCCATTTGCGTTAAGACCTAAAGAGCCCATTGGCTGATTAAAAGCATTATTTAAACTGGCATGAGTCTCACCCTCCCTCTCTCTTTACGCACATGCACACACTTACAGCCTCCTGCAGTGGGCTGCTTCATGCACCCATTACTCTGGGACAGGGTGCCTGGTCATAACAGTGATAAACTTCCACGCTCGGAGTTGGGGTGAGAAGGATGTACATACACAGAGATACAGTAATTTCAAACCCATTTGGAATGCATGATTCAGTGATTATGTAATTGTGCTCAGTTTTTCTTTTCCTCTGGAGTACTGTGAATTTAGCTAAATTGTCCCGAAAAATATAATATTCTTGGAAATTAAACAAACAAAAACAGCAGATTGCCATCTGGGCTGCAATTTTTTAAACATTCTGTCATTGCACAAACCAGGTTGGTTTAGGACCCTTTTTTGTTACATCTCAGTAAACTATGAAGGATTTTTCCATATTGGCATCAGAAAAATAAATAAAAATCCATGTCAAAAACTGTCAACACTGCACCAATCCCATAGGCCACCAAGGCTGGGCGACTGCACACACTTCTTGGCTATGATTCACATCCCCTGCTACATGTATGACACATCCACAGTTACACTCGGTTCCAGGACTCCTCATCTCCCAAATGGTGCCTTCTGTTCTCATTCTGGGCTTCTATGAAAAGATCCAACAAAAGAAAGACCCTGAGCAGACCGGTTACATTTTCCTTTTTTTTTTTTTGTCATTGAGAAATGGGAGCTGGCACCTGAAAAATGCACTTGTTTTAGGAGATCTTTGCTGACAGAGGGGTACCCTTGGTGGTAATTTGTAGCACTGATTATAAATCCACAATAATCTAAATAATTCCTACTGAATGAGGAAATAAGGGACAGATTAAGGTGTCTGACACGGCCATTTATTTTTGCCTCCTCTCCAGAGAGATCTCCTTCTCAGTTTGGGAACATTGGATTCCTAAATGGTGATGCTCGCTGCACACTGAAAATGGTGGCACTGTGCATCCTTTGCATTTTTATAGGCCTACTTTGCATATTGGATTTAAGTGGGTCAAGAGAAGAGTAACTTAAAGTCCAACTGAAATTAAATTGCATTTTTTTTCTTGTCTGCTACAGCATACATATTGGCTCTGTAAATCACAGATTATGTGTTTTGGTTTCATGATGGCACCCCGTAGTTTTGCATTAATTTGACTCAATATCGTTCCTTAATTTGATACAGCCAATCAAATCGTACATGAACAGTGACGTCACTGTTCGGTCATGGGCAGACGATCACGCTGAGCCGGACAGCAGCCTGCTACACAACACAGGATCCACAGACTGAATGTCTTGTCCTGCACCTTAGCTCGTTGAGTGAGCAACCAAACAAACATTCACCGGGGAAAAGAACACTTCTAACGTCAGTTTTCAGGCTGGATGGCTTATTAGCTGCTCAGCTGTAGAAAACTGAACAGCATACTGTACCTTCAAATGTCACTTGGGTCTGGTTAGATGCTGGTGTGATCCTCACTCTTCAATACCGCTAACAACACACATGTGCACATGACATGCAGGCTATAGCGCACATTTGTTTACTTCATCTCTGGCTCCCTCCGGTCTAATACTGGCGCTCAGCCTGCCAGCTGCTGTCAATCAAACACAGACACCGACACGCCCTTCCAGCCGGCTGAGACGAAAAGAGCATTTGTAATATTTCCCCAAAAGACCTTTTTTCTCTTCCGTTTAATAACAAAAAACTATTAACAATACATTTAAAAAAACACGTTGACATTATTTTTGACTGCAAAACAGGATGACTAAATGGGATTTCAGTTGGACTTTAACAAAAATCAAAACAAGCGCTTAAAAGATAAAAAAACAAACAGCATTTTCAACATATTTCCTTAATTAATATCATTTTTATGTCAAGAAAGTATCTAAAAGATGTCCACTTGTGAAACAAATCAATTTAGAAAGACAGAATTAAAAATGGTTAAGACATCAAAACCCTGAATCCAGCAGCTGTCTGTCTTAATCAGTGTTAAAGTTTATACCCATTGACTTTGTCAGATTGCTAAAATAGCATTTAATTTAAAGTCAAGTCCAATGATGTTTGTATAAATGACCAACTCATTGCTTGCCAGACTGCAATGTGGTTGCTGTTGTCATGGTATAATTGCAAGGGGACAGCCTCAGATAATGCTCATTGATTGAAACCCATTGATTCTAATTCTCGAGTCCGTAGCTGCCCCTTTGAGTGAGGCACATATACTGTATCTTTATCTTATTTGACTGAGTTCACAACACAGTCAATTCTTATCAGCCAATGTATTGTGATTTGATCAAAAAAAATAAAATGACTCTTAGCCCTGGAACACTCTTTTCAAGCTCTCCAATTCCACAGTTGACACTGTTTTGATCATTCACTGTCTGAATGTGAGTGTCAGATATTGGACCAAACCCAAATGACTTTCCTCATATCATCACCAACCAGCCTTAGTTTCCTCATAAGCACATTATATGAACCTGACATCATGTTTATTTGATGACAATAACATAGTTTGGTCAATATAGTGCATTAAGTGCAAAGCAATCAAAACAAATAAAATTGATAAGGGATAGAGAATCTGCGAATGCTTGTATAAAAATAGGTGTTACATTGATTAAAATATCAGTATTACACAACATAATTAATACTTCAAATATCATTTATGAATTTTGTTTTGATAACATATCAATTCTACATATTAAGAATGAATACCCATATTCATTTTTAATATAATAATCTCCTTTATGAGAGCTCATTGAAGGCTAACTTGCCTTCCAATTCCAAAAAGTGCAGAAAGCATACAAAGACACTTTTTTTTTCATCTTCTTCAAATGACGCAGTCTTTTTTGAACATTGGGGGTGTGCCACTTTCAAAAAAAGCCACTTTTACAATGCAGAGCTACAGTAAATGAAACTACAAACATAAGCCTGAGGATCATGGAGTATGATGACACAGGTAATATTGATGTAGAATCAAAAGTTTTGAAAAGACATGGCAGATTATATCAATAAATACTTACTTACAGACTACAGCAGAAAATAGTCCTACACAGTTTCGATGATCTGCTGTACAGTGTTTTTGTCCAGGAGTGATTTTATAAACATTTCTTTTCTGATTCACAATATACCTTATGTATGGTTATATTCCTGAAAATGAAGTTGGGTAAGATTTACCTGTACACTTACATTTTGTGTGTTATTCGATCTTCACCATAGAAAAATAGATTTTGCATCATCAGTTAAGTAGAGCAATTTTGTTCATCCATGTTTCAGAAAGCTGTATCCATTCCTGTTGTGTAATGTTTCAGAAATAAGAATAAGATTGTTCGGCACACCCCGTTTGAACTCCTTTTGCTTTTGCTTGTTTGTAATGTGCCAAGGCACCCTATAAACTGAGCCACTGTTTCAAGGAGGGTCAAGAGACAAAATGCTTCATTACATTAATGATCCTGTTGCTCAGAACTGGCTAAAGGTGGTCTGTTTCTCAAGAACTTCGAGGTAATCGGGCTCAGACTGAAGTTTAGCTTTTAGCTCCAAATACTCATTTCTGTTGGGCTCAACATAAACAGTACTGGGTGCTGTGCCGTAGAGGACTGTTTCTCTTATCCTCTCTGGGTGCAAGAACTGACGTCTGACATCAAAATTTGGGTTGTATGTGTACGACACAGGCCCTGTGTACTTGTACTCTAAATTGGCACCTGCTGGGATGGATGCCATGGACTGATGGGGCTGCTGCTTATCAGGCTCAAGGATGCCTCTGAAGAAATGATCTGCATCCGGCACAGGGGAGGGGTTTTCACGTGGCTCAATGGTGCTAACACTGTACGTAGGGCTCCTCATCGTACTGCTATCCCTCTCCTCATCCGGGTTACTCCTGTACGCAACCTTGAGCTCATGGAGGTCACGGTAATCCTCCACTGTGTTTCCCTCTCGTGACCTGTAAATGGGGTTTTTGCACATATGGCCCATGGGGTGGGGGATATACTCATAGACATGACCGGCTGGGGCCTTAACTTTGGGACCGGAGCGGTTGCTGTAGAGGCTGTACTGCAAGTTAAAAGAGCTGACATCTGAATTGTTGGTGCTAGTGCGGTCACTCTGTGACTTTTTGCGCTTTTTCATCACTACAACAAACAGCCCTGCGGCCACAAAGACAGACATGATGAAAACAAGCAGGAGGCTGAGGATGAGGACAGAGAGGGGGACGGTGCTGCTGGGGGTGTTGAACTTCTGCGGGGCGTCTGTGGTGACGACCCGTTCGTCCATGGGCTCATCCGTAAGGGTAGTCGGCAAGATGTAAGCATCAGAGTCGTCTGGGCAGAGCTCCTCCGACTGGATCGAGCGCAGATCCATTCCTGTGTGGCGTCTGGGCGTCTCGCACACAACCTCGTTAACCACAGTGCCTGCGCTGAGTTGCTCGAGCCACATCTTCATCCCCACTATGTCGCAGGAGCAGTCCCAGGGGTTTTCAAACAAATCTATTTGCACCAGCAGCTTCAGCTGATCTAAAACACCACTCACAGGCAGGTTTTGGAAATGGTTGTTGCGCAGATTAAGCCTAGACAGGGAGAGGCTGGAAAAGATGCCCACAGGTAAGGTTTTCAGCAGGTTATTGTTGAGGAAAAGCAGCTGAAGATTAGGGAGGTAGCGGAAAGTGCCCGCTTCAACCTCCTTGATTTTGTTGTACTCTAAATAAAGATACTGCAAGTTCTGCAAACCAAAAAACATTTCTCCTGTAAGCCTGTCCATGAGATTACCATTTAAATACAGCCTACGCAGGTTGGTTAAATCCCCAAAAGCCCGGTCGTGGATCAGACTTATCCTGTTGTTTCCCAAGTGAAGCAAATCCAATCCAGTGGCATCGACAAAATCTGATCTTCGTACCACAGGGATGTAATTTCCAGTGAGATACATCTTTTTAGGATTGTATGGCTTGGGTTTTAGATCAGAAATGCTTTCAATCTTTCTCTCTTGACAGTTGACATTTAGCCCGATTTCAGATATCTGCAGGTTACACGTGCAGGCAGTAGGACAGTCCAAAGGCACAGGAGATTTGGTCTGAAAAGCAATGATGGGGCCGTAGTTGTAAGGGTTACCGCCTGGTATTCGGGAAGTGGGCTTTAACCTAGTTCTGTTAAATTGGCGTGTGCCCTTGGTAGGCCTAGAAGAGGACCTAAATACAGCCGAGGAGGTGGCGGAGGCTGTGACAGCAGCAGGTGTGGTCTGGTAATATCCATTAGTGCTGCTAGGGGGTGCAGGCCTGACTGTGTCTTCTAGGGGTCTTCTTGGGCAGAGTTCCTGCTTGGACACCTCATCCAGGTCCCTACCGTGGAGCCTGAACGGTGTCTCACACACCACTTCTCCCACCAGAGCTGTATAGGCTATACTCTCCAACCAAGCCTTCAGAGCAATGAGCTCGCAGGAGCAATTCCAAGGATTCTCCTCTAGTTGTAATTCCACAACTTTGTCCATGTGCTCAAGGAGGCCGATGTAGGGGAACATTTTTAACCGGTTCCCCCTCAGGTCCAAGTGCGTAAGGGGGACATTCCGGAAGATGTTCAGGGGCATGGCAGAGAGCAGGTTGTCATTCAAAATCAACACTGTCAGTTGGTGTAGTTTGCTCAAGGCATTGGACTCTATATTGGTGATGTAATTATAATCAATCTGTAGGTATTCCAAACTCTCTAGTCCTGCAAAGGTGTCATCCCTCAGAACTTCAATCTTGTTGTTATTCAGGTGCAACCTTTTTAATCCCTGGAGTCCGTTGAAGGCACCTGACTCTATCTCAGAGATATCATTGTTCCCCAAGTGCAGGATGGTCACCCCGGTGTAATTGATGAAATCATTGACTGACAGCTTCTTCAGGAGGTTCCCTGTCAGCAGGAGGTGGTACATGGAGAAATGGACGGGGCTGACCTCCGTCAGTCTGATGATCCCCCGGTTCTCGCAGCTCACCGTCAGGATCCCTTCCTTCTCCTCGCACGTACACAGGTTTCGACAGATCTCCCCATAATTGTCATACATCTCGACCAGCCTCAGAGATGATGCAATCAGAAGGATTATTTTTAGGATCCAGATATGCATTTTTCCTGGGAGAGGATGCCCCAGCTCACTCAAGTGCGGTACCAGTATGAGGTGTCATCTAAGGAGGAAAAGAAAAGGACGGGTTCTGTTTTATATAGCATTGAAAATACATGTGACACATGTGTAGTATTTACAAAATGCATACATAAACTCCTAAAAGGAGCAGTCCCCACTGATGAACAAGTATTAGACAATCCATAACAAACACACACAGGCAAAGACAAGTGGGCCTATTAATGTTTGTTCATTATGCAGATGTGTTATGTCGGCATCATTTTGGTTTTGAGGGTGTCAGAAAAACCGGCGACCTGGAAGAATCTTTAATAAATGCATAAGTAAACGATAATGTATAATCAAGTTGATCACACAACTACCCGCGGTGGATGGCCACTGCGCATTTTTGATAGCTCGCCTGAATTCCAATCCATCTTGGGAGGGAAAAAAAAAAGCCTTTGCCATCCACCGTGTGCAGACTGATAGATCTGATCATTTACTAATTCAATCCCTTGAGCATTTCCACACACACACACACCAAAAAAAAAAGGCTCACTGTCAAAACATCTCAAGCCACATCGCTTCGTGTGGTTGGATGATCGGGTTTTATTTATTTTATTTTCTTAACGATTCAATCTTTCCGCCCCAAAACTCAGATTAAAATCTCAGAGATGCAACTCCTGTCTTCCCTGAACATAAAGATTTCTCACTCACCCCGCATACCCGACGACTTGGTAACAGTGGAGAAACTGTCGGATCCCTTCTCTCCACCTCCGTCCAAACAACATGAGGACGGGGGATTTATTCGTCTGTTATGATTAAAACGATCCTGAGGAATATATATATAAATATATAAATTTAAAAAAAGAAAAATGCCGGCTTTCAAAAAGGAATCGGCTGAGAGAAGCAGTCACTGTTCATCTTAAAATCCGGCCTGCGATAGAAAATGTTGAATATCAGCCTACAAGGCGACAGTCGCAGCCCTTCTTCTACCCACGGGCGAAAAAAAGAAATGAGAGGAGTTGATCAAAGGCAAATAAGCAAGTGTTGTTGATCTCATAGCGGATCTCTGATCGAAATTGCGTTTGGACGGGGGAGTAAATAAATCTGTAATCAAGTATTCTGTATGGCATCTGCCATATAGAAGGTTACAGATTCTCTCTTTCTCTCCCCCTCTCTCCCCTCTTTCTCCTTCTCTCTCTCCGCCACAGACGCGTGAGCGCGCGTGCATGGCACATGCACACGCACAAACACACACACGTTTGGTCTGTGTGCGCTCCTTAAAAGAACACAAAAGCCTACACATCGACCCAGTAGATGTCCCCAAATATGCGCATTTTTAACATACAAGGACATGCTTCCACTGCGCGGTTCCTGTATCCCGAGTGGGTACACCCACTTTCCCTCACATTCGGGTTCATTTTCTTTTTCTTACATTTTGAGTTTATTGCCATAAACCCCTCAAAGATAAAATGCCAATCGCCTTTCCTGGATATAGAATAGAGATAACTTGAGAAAAAGCCTGTGTGCGTCTATCTTCGCCGGGTGTGCAGAAGCTGTTATTGGGAAGCGAATAAAAAAAAACTGTGTTGATGTATGTGAGCATACAAATGCTAAGCAGCCGCAGACACCTTTGCTTTGAACAGCATCTTAAATCCGGATCAACTTCAGCAATGCAACTGAGGGTGGAAGCAGAGATTTCAGCACCACGGACAGATCCCCCACACACAACCCCGCATTAAAATATGTTAAAGCATAAAACGCCTCAGCGCAGACAAGCAGTATATGGAGAGAGAGAAAAAGCATTGTCCTCTTACCGTTCTGATCCCGGTAAACGCCAAAGCATCCCGAAAAATCACGGCTGTGCCCCGTCTTCTTTCTCAAACATGGATTTCGTGATTTCACCGCCCGCCCTTCCGTCGGCTGTCAAAAAAAAGGGGGGTGAAAAAAAAAAATCCTTAAAGTCAAGTCTCGGTGTTTAGCTCCATAAACCAGACATCGAAGAGCGCATATATATATATATACAGTCTCATTCAGGCCAATAACGTGACAGCCAGCACGGCAAAACGGGATCCTGTGTTCTTCCAGCAGCCACTGAAATTAGCGGTATCATCTCGGAAAAAGAGCCAAAACCAAAGTTCGAACATGGTGGAGAAAAGGGGGCGAATAAAAACTCGGTAATCCCACATCAGACGAGACTTGCCGCATGCATTTTAACTGTGACTTTCATCCATGCGCACTGAGGAAGGAAGCGGAGGAGAGAGGCACGAATCCCCCCTTGTCTGCTGCCAGCGGTGCTGCTTGTACCAGTTTATGTATAGATCTGCCCAAGGTCTCTTTATTTCAATTGCCACACCGTCCAAATCGACCGGAGATCAGCGGATATGTTCCTCCAGTTTTTGCCCTCGGATGCAAGAATCCGATCCCCCTTCCTCCAGTCCTGCATTGGTCATGAGATATCCTATGTATATACACAAGCTTTATCTTCCCACCAACGTTTCAACTAGTGGAACTTGATCTTGGTTGGCGCAAACCAGCGCATCCCCCTACAGCGATGGACATATTATGAAACAATTACCATAGTATGGCAGCCGGAATCACTCGTGAAAATGCATAAATCCCCCAATCTCAGGACTGTCACAGCGCGCAAATGAAAAGCAATTTAATGCGTGCAATACTCTTTAAGGGGGTATGGTAATGTAGAGGAGGAGGGATGCAGGGGGGAGGGAGGGTGAATGGAGGTGGGGTGGAAAAGGGAAAAGGGAAGCTGGAAGAAGACCCGTAGAGGGCAGCACAATGATGAAAAAGGCATCTTGGCAGGCTTACATTTCCAGGCTGCACTTTGTTAGTCAGTGTATTTTAATTCAACCAGCAGCAACCATTTGATTTGTCACTCAGAGCTTTAGCTATTTTCTCCCAAGAAAGCATCCTATTTCCATCCTTTTCAAAGCCACAACTGGACACGTCAAGCTTTTTTTCTTTTCATTGTCACGGTGCCATAATACTTTGGATTCTTCTCAGCCAGCTTTTGATTTCCTCAGAGGGAAGTGGGATGCAGATATTGGCCTGACACTCATCCTGGATTCATCATGTCTCTTCATTATTCAGTCTGCAAAGATATTCCTTGAGACAGCTTTCAAATTATTGCAGCACGCCGGGCACGGCTGGAATACATTTGCTTATTAGCAGCACATTGTTAACACCCTCCCTCATGGTGAGGTGATGCTTTAGCTGTTTAACAATCTGAATACCTGCTTTCACAATGCGATTCGCCCCAAAGAAAAGACATTTGAATCCTCTGAATCAGGCCTGGTGTGTATCCGCTCATACACATAACTCACAAACCTTTAACCTATTTTTTAACTTAGTGGGTATTTAAGTTCCGTCAGACAAATAAGGTCAAGCAAACATTCATTCGCACACCTCCTATCTCTTTATGGACACTTCCAAACACGCGGATTAAGCCTATAGTCCCGGAGAACACAACTTTACAAGAGATCTGCATTGAAAGAAATGAATGTACTGTAGGATTAGGCTTAATCCAGTTTTGCACCAAATACTCAAGCCTACTAATGCTGCCGTGTTGCTGTAAGCACTCTGTATTTCACCAAATCACGGCTTATTTGCCCCTTGTTGAAAGAGCAAATCAAAGTCAAAGCCACAGCTGCCCTCTTACCCTCTTGCTGTGGGACAAGAAACTTTAGAAGCACTTAACTAAAGCCTAAACAGAAAATCGAATTAAATCTAGCATATGGTGGGCCGCCATGTCCAAAGAGATTTCCCACTTAGTCAGTATTGTGTGGTAATAAGTCAACTCTTATGCTCTCTTTAGCATGCGAGGAGCGACAATAAGCGGATGTGGCATCCGTGCCGCCTTAACCGAAATTAGCCGTGGAGATGCATTGAATTATCTTAACGTCTCTAGCTCTGTAATCGTATTAACAGTGGTCTATCCTGTGGGGATGGACAAACGGGTATCTATGGAACCCCGGCTGGGAATACAGCGATGGAGAAACTAATGCAGCAGGGTGTTTGCTCCCTCCCTCTGGAAGGGACTGTGGCTGGCTCCCCTGAGAGGCATTGTGGCATCAAAGAGAGGGAGAGTAGCTGTCCTAAATCTTGTTTTTTTTTGCCTTAAACGACTTTGTGTACTGCTGATGGGGGAGATAGATACCCTTGATAAAGTAGCGCCCCGGATGGTGATGTGTGACGGTGTGTGTTTGTGCAAGTTTTATAGATATAACTTTGTTGTATCAAAGTTTTGTCTGCACGGCGGTGTGTGTGTGTGTGTGTGTGTGTGTGTGTCTGGGTGGGAATGTTTTTCCATGTGCGTCCACTAAACGGATGTTGCTGTGTGCGTATGCATGCACATGAATCTCTCCTTCACAAAGGCTAATGGGTTCATAGAAACACGGAAGCTATTATCATAGATCAGCTGCATAAAACACATAATATTATAATAAGGCCCAGGACAAATGATTAAGTAATTAAATGCAAATGAAAGTTCACGCTATGGTGAGTACAACATGTATCTTTTGCATGAACTTGACTTGATGTTTTTTTAACCATGTTATGAAAGATTTTTTCCCATCACCATTAGCATAATAGTTATTATGTAATGCAAATCATACTGTACCTAAGATGGGTTAAATAATTGAAATGCATTTAGTTGTTTGAGTTATTTTAGCTTTATTTTGTGTTTAATTTGGCATGTGTTTGCTGGCCTATTGGCATGGTTAGGCGCTATTGGCACTGCAACCACCGGTGCAACTGTGCCAGACAAGCACTATTAATCAAAATAAAGGTTTAGTCCAGGTACAACGATTAGAGTGAGCGCCATCTTCACATAAACTGCTTTTTAGGAATCAAGAATGAACCTCTTGTTCCCGCTTGACAATGAAAATTACAATGCGCTTTGAAAAGAAATGGAAAAGTTACTTAAAGCAAGGTTTAGTACACCGTGATCGTGAACTTTCGTCATCACATAACCCCCTCAGTCTTAATATGCTGATGTGAAATTAGCTATGATGGCATTCTTATGGGAGTTGTTGTCTTTGATATCACAGAAAAAGCCTTCTGGTAGACGGGCTATGAGCCAACAGCAGTGGGCAGGAGAAATAATGAAATGTGTCTAAAGGAAAACATCTCAGCGGGGATATATAATGCAGCACCGCATCATTGGCTGTTTTTGTCATTTATTTGACAATGGTATATTTAGAACAAATATTCCAGAAATTACATTTAATTTTACACTTCTGCTTGATAAATACAGTTCAGTGTGGGGCTTAGTGTTAAATACAAGTGGATAAATGTGCACACAGTTCGTGCAATATATTCTACTGGATCTTTATCTCTGTAGTCATGTAGTACATGAGGTAAGCTTGAAAAAAATATCCTCATAATCTTATCAGACTGATTTTCAATGATGTTAGCAATAGGTAGTGCCATTATGTAACTGTGTATTTATGATTATAGCATTAAAGTAAAGCTATAATCTAAAGTCCTGAGCTACCTCAACCACTTTACTTAATATTGTTTCTAAATCTTACAATTTGAACCTATCATCATGCAGGAGGTGTATTAAAGATTTTGACTGTCTGCCATAATAGAAGGCAAATTCCTTTGTCAGCAGAGAGCCTGACATGCATTGTGCTATGATTAACTTGTGAGGTCTCATCTGGCTTGTGTGTCCAGAGGCCAATTGGTGCTGCTAGCAATTTCCGTCATAACCCGGTAGGTCTAGAACAGGTCTTTGGGGCCAGGATCCATTCAAAATGCAGATAATATGGAATTAGAAAACAATTTTAGTTTGACAGTACAATCCAACTGGCACATCTTCTCTGTTGATATGAATTACAGAACATTTCTCTGGGAGAAATTGCTTTACATAAACAATGACTAAACCCTGGAAGCCCTATTTGGCCTTGTAATGGAATGAAGGCTAATGAGACAACCAAGGATGGATAGTATGGGAAGTGAAAGCGTTCTATTGCTCTGTGCTGGTGTCACTCCACCAATCATGGCACTAAATTGATTCGGCCCTTGCATAGCCACATTTATGCAAGTATCATGAAGGCAAATACAATAAACTCTTATTAGCTGTATTTCATTTTGACAGCTATATTTAGCATAAACAAATAAATATTAACACTATTAATCTGTGACTTAGAATGCCTCTTTGCCTCCTGGTACATAATAGTGACAGATTCTATAGACCTTTACATTTATAATCCTTAAATGCTTTTAGATTTGATAAAAACATCATACTGATACATTTATACCAGCAGAAACTACAGTTTATTTGAGACAATTAGAGGTTGAACTGAGTAGCGCAGTATCAATTAAATTCATCATGGCTGAATAAAGTAAAGAGTACTGCCATGAGAAACTCCCCAGCAAACCACAAAAGAAAAACAAGGTTCTCTTGAATGGTTACACTGTAGTGGAAAATACCATTCTGGAAAAATTATAGGGCTTGTAGAGGCCATGGTTGCAGCCAAGGGGAAGTTACAAAAAGCTGCAGTCAAGTAAAGCAGTTTCCAGCAACCTTCTGAGCCAGTACAGGAAGTCACAGGGAGACATTTATCAGATTCTTACAGAATAGCATATTATATAAATCAAATCTGTTCAAATTTGACTAAATCACCGTTAGATGTTGACATGCTGTTCTGTGGTAGATCATAGGGTAGCCATATTGTAAGAATCATGAAATGTGTTTATTCCATAACCCTATTTAATACATTATTTTTAGCCATTGCTAGCAGTTTGGCTCCATGAACGGAAATGGCACATGTTCATGGTTCCCAGAGGATGAATCGTGATGTCTCAACAACTGTTGAACCAATGGCTTTGCAGCTCCTTCGAATGAATAGTAGTAATTTTGATCTAAATCTTTCTTTTTTTTTCCCTGCCTTGCCTCATCTGTACTTTGTGTGAGTGTTAATGAGCAAATATTAGATTTCTTTAAAGATAACCTAAGATGGTGAGCAAGGTAAACCTTTTACCTGCTTAAAATATATAACTAGCCTTGTTATTTAGCATGTAGCTTGGAGCACCGCTCTGTGTAGCCTCACAGACCAGCTAGCATGGCCGTAGACATGACGTGTAATCAAAAAACCCTGCCCATGACTAATAAATCTTTTCAATGAAACAGAATAATTAAGATTTAAAAAATATTTCAGTCACACATCTGAGCCATTGAGCTCCTAGATAGGGCACAGTTTCCATCATGCACTGAGCTTTTGCAGTCAGTGGTAAACCAACACCTGCCTCAATGTCATGAAGTCATTGTTGCTGATCTTGAGTTGGACATGCATTGTGTGATAATAGGCTGTGAACGAGTCTATGCAGGCTTAGCTCTTCCAAATTAACTGTTTAATGAAGTAATACCATGTCATTGGGCCATTTCCAGCCATAATAAAGACAGTATGCTTGCATCTGCTTTTATTTTGTTATTTGCATGAACCCCATCATGACACTTGCCATGATGCTACCTGTCGATGGCACTGCATCTAATCAAAAGCACCAGAGCTAAAGCCTGTGCATTCATCACAGCTCCGGATGATGTAGAGCTCTGGTGTGAGTTCCCACCAAAGAGCGGGAGCACAGCTGCTCTGACAGCCATGA